ATCTTCTCAACTTCCACATAGGCCATTGCAATAGGCAACATGTTGTCATTGCCATCTCTGCCAATAGCTGATTGTACTTGACCACCATGTATAGTCTTCAGAAAACATCCATCAAGTCCTATAATGGGCCTGCATCCAGTCACAAAGGCCTGCCTCATTGCACCAAAGCAAACATACATCCTGAAAAACTTTGGAGGTGTGAAGTCATGGTTCAGTTTCAGAATAAGGGTGCTACCAGGATTGTACTTGACTACAGTGGTACAATAGTCATACAGTCTCCTAAATTGCTCCCCAATGTCAGCCTTCAACAATGACAAACCATAAGCTCTAACTCTGTACACCTTGTGAATACTTATATCAACCCCACAATCTCTCTTAGTTTTGTTTCTCAGACTGTGGAGTGGCTCAGCAGGATTGTCTCTCAAAGTTTCAAGCATCCTTCTCCCTAGGTACTTGTAATCTGCCTGTTTGTTTTCTGTTCTGTAAGCACAAGAGTGTGTGCCTTTCAGGCTCTTGATCTGAAATGTTGACATGTCAAATATGACTGAGGCCCTCAAAGACCAGTCACACCCACTTTTGCACTTTGCTGTGATGAGCTTAGCTTCATTCTTGGGATACTGCAAATCATAACCTTTTCTGACAGACCAGTCTTTAAGAACCTCCTTGAATTTGGCTCTGTTTGGAAATTTCAGACCAACCTTTAGCTCAAACCTTGCCATATTCATGCCATCATTCCATTCATCATCCATTTGAAAGAACTGCTCATAATCATCCTCAATATCACTGTACCAATCTGATTCATTAGACTTTTTCTTCTTTTCAGCTTCTTCTCTTGCTATTTTTTTCTTCTTTCTTCTCTATTTCATCCATTCTTTAGCCATCTTGTGAACCTTCTTAGCATGACCAGGATCCCTCTGCTGGAATATATCATCATCTTCAGGGCCTTCTAAATCTTCTAACTCCCATTCAGACAATTCAGATGACATGTCATCACTACTTTGGCCAGGTACATACTTTTCATCCTCTGAATCATCTAAATCCTCACTGTGGTGTCCTTCATCCTCATCATGTGATCCAGATTGTCCCTGTGGTGTAGTCTCCTGAGGTGTAGTCTCCTGAGGCATCTCCTGTTGTTTGCCACCATGTGATCCACTGTGTTGTGCATCAAACTCATGAGGCATCTCTTGTTGTTGGCCACCATGTGATCCACTGTGTTGTGCATCAAACTCATGAGGCATCTCCTGTTGTTGGCCACCATGTGATCCACCCTGTTGTGCTTAAAACTCATGTTGTGCTTTATCTTCAAAAGGTAGATCATCTTTCTGCCCTCCAGGTTCACCCATATAGCTTGGTTCTGGTATGGCTTCTGTAGTTTCCTCAACAGCCTCATTTATAAAGCTCTCTTGAGTATATGGATACTCAAGAAGAGGCATCTCTTCTTGTGAACTCATGAGGTTCCCATCATTGTCTATCCCTTGTACAAGTCCTTGTAAGTCCTCAAAGTATAGTGGAATCACATAAACCCCATTGTACATCTTC